AAAGTTTCCACACGCTGTTTCGTGAGGATCTGGTTCGATTTTTCTTTGGTCAACGCCGGAGCTGACGGGGCATCATGCGTTAGATTTTATCCTTTTTGGTTGAGAACGCAGATGAGGGCCATTGGCCTGTGATGTGTGGGCAATACGTGTTGTTTCTCTGTGGAGACTTTTGCTAGGAGTCAAAGGAGCCATTTTGCTGAAAAGGATGTCTCAGCTCTTGTCAGTAAGATAAGTCAGAAATGATCGATCGATACCTATAAAACCTTCGAAACGGCCTAGAATCCGCTTTAATTAAGTTGGATAATGACACGAATGGTCCATAAATTTTAGCCCACTATTTAACGTGATTCATGAATTTTCAATTTGTTCAATATAGTCCCTGAATTTTTTATACATGTTCAATTTAGTTATTCTCCCAATTGTCAAAAGAGAGGTGCAATTGGTGCTACAAATTTTCTTTCACGGTGCTACAAATCTGACGCAGTCATGTACGAGTTCTAAAAATAGCACCATGACTTAGCTGCGTATAGGAGAGAAATTGACCGGCAATTCTAAGACAACAAAACAAACTCACCTGCGCAAATTTATACAAGCGTCGAAGCGAGCTTAGCAATCCTAGGTGAAGTCTTCCCTTGTCATTAGATATCGATTGATGATAAACAAAACTCTGGTGAAAATATCTAAACTTCCTACCAAATTTATAAAGCATAGATCCTCATTGAGACAATGGGTCATCTTGCAATAGGAAATCGAAACTATAAATTTTCTTCTTTATATTCACGAATATGAATATATATTAACAATCTTGGGAGCTCAAGCAATCAGTCTGGTATGGAGCATGGATTTGTCTTGGCAAACCTGGATGTAGGTGAACAAATGAGGGAAGCATCACTAACTCAGGAAGTGAAAAACAAATTGTTTCGAACTAGTTTTAAATTGGTGGGGAGCATATAGTCTCCAAGTTCTTTTCAATGGTTCAGTTAATGCTTGCTTATAATCGGGAAAATTACCAAAACAGTCATAAACCTATTGCAATTATATCATTTCAGTTCTAAATATTTTCCATTTATGCCAATTCAGTCTATCTGGCCCATTTTGGCCAGCCGTCCAGCCAATGCAAAAGGGACAATTTTTAAATATTTTTTTCATATTAATTATTTATTCTTTTCTTTTTTCCTTTTTTTTTCTTCTCTTTCCCTTTCTTCTTTTTTTTCTCCCTTCATCTTCAACCTCTAGCCGGTCGCCGTTCTTTCCCTTTCTTTTTTTTTTTCCTCCCTTCATCTTCAACTTCTAGTCGGTCGCCGAAACCGGCGACTAGCCAAAGGTGGGGGCCGGCGAGGTTGGCCCTGCCGTCCGCCGGCAAGAGCGAGGACGAGCCTCACCATGGGCAGGCAAGGCCAACCTCGCCAATTGTCGGCGAGGCTCAATCTTGCGAGCGACAGCAAGGACGAGCCACACCAAATCTGGAGAGGTCATCCTTGTTAGTGGCTAGGCGAGGTCCAGCCATGCCAAGTGCAGGCGAGGCCGACTTGGCCATTTGTCGGCGAGGACGTCCTCACCCAGCAATGGCGAGATCGAGCCTTGCGAGGGGCGGGCAAGGCCAACCTCGTCAGCCCCCGCCGCTAGCCAATCGCCAGAACTGGCGATCGGCTAGAGGTTGAAGATGAAAGGAGGGAAAAAAAAGAAAAGAAAAGGGAAAAATAAAAATAATAATAAAAATATCGAAAAAAATATTTTAAAAATTGCCACGTTAGCGTTGGCCGGCCGGCCAGTGTCCACATCAGTACCGGCGGGCCAAAATTTGCCGGATAGACTGAATTGGCACAAATGCAAAAGGTTTAGAACTTAATTGGTACAATTGCAATACGTTTAGGACTTTTTGGTGATTTTCCCGCTTGTAATCTAATAATACCATCTAGTGAGACTGATTTATCAATGGGAAAATGAAACAAACGGTCCCTAAACTTTGGCTCAATATGCAATTTGGTTATTGAACTTTTAATTTATTCAATGTAGTCATTGAACTTTAGCCTAATGTACAATGCGGTCCGTGAACTTTCAATTTGTTCAATGTGGTCCCTGGACTTTTGGTACATGTTCAATTTTGTCCATGAACTATATGAAAATGTTCAATATAGTCCTTCCATTAATTTAAGTTCAGGATTACATTGAACATTTTCATATAGTTCAGGAACTAAATTCAACATGTACCAAAAATCAATGGACCATATTGAATAAATTGAAAGTTCATGGATCACATTGAATATTAAGCTAAAGTTCATAGACTATATTAAACAAATTAAAAGTTCAAAGATCAAATTGCACATTGGGCCAAAATTCAGGGACTGTTTGTGTTATTATCCCTTTATCAATTGAAGGATCATTATTGTCACTAGAAGCAAAATATTTTCTTACGAATTGCCAAATATTTCCAGAAAACGATATATGCATGGCACCGAATCCATTTTCTCCTTCTGGCCTTGTCCTCGCCACCATCAGGACCTTCTCCAAGTATATGCATGCATATAAGTAAAGTTTGATCTCTTTGCACATCGTGTCTAGGTTCGAATCTCGCTGCCAGTAGTCCTCTTTGGGAGGCGATATGTAAATCCACTTTAAGAAATTTTAGGCCTGTGGTATGCCCTGGCCTTGGCATAGGGTAACCTCGCCCCCTAAATTTTTTATACCAAAAAAAAAAAAAAAAAAGAATTGTAATGAGCATGGTGCTGTGGCTCTCTCTACATGGAAGTCCCACCCACCATCTTCATTGCAATACGGTAATTGATACCCAACAATGGAAAGATAGAGCACGTTTTTCTTTTTTCATATGCAAGTGCAACTTAGGAGTGGAGCTAAAATTCTCAAAATCTATGCTAGGATTATGCAAACTAGATGAGAATCGAGTATCTGATGATTATACCCATATCAAAAGATCTCTTTTTTGATGTTCTGCAAATTAGACAATGTTGAGATGCCCAGTAATAAACAAACGTATCAAACCGGCATTTTATTTTTTTTTGGTTAATGAACAAGTCAAGGGGCACGAATTGCATGCAATTGGTGTGACCATCGCGTCATGAACAGTCCTTTCTCCAACATAGAAAACACATTGTGGTCATGACCAAAGTATGGTATATTGTCCGACTGATAACTCTTTTGGCATGCACTCACTGTCGTATCTGGTAAGTAGTAATCAGAATCTCTTTCTCGCAACAGTTTGGCTCTACGCATTGAGTAAGTAGAATATATGAGTTTGACCCGATTTGATATACAAAGTTGACAATCAGATCTCAGGAAACTGTACAATACACACGGGGTAACGACAAAACACATAAGTTCAAACACAGAACTACGCTAACCAATGCAAAAACAATAACCAAGAAGACCGAAGAAAGCTACAAGCAAAGGAGGGTGGAAGAAGAGAAGGCCGGAATCTTCTGCAGGCCATCACCGTTGCTTGCAGAACTGAAAAGAAATAGAAGCTTATCCTCAAGGCGGCCGATGCCTTCTCAGGTGTTAATCTCTTCTTCAACCTCTAACTTTAGAGAGAGGAATAGTTTATTTGAAGCTCTCTCTTGGAAATTGCTATTGCAGAACGGAAAACTTTTAGCAGGTCCAGTGATTTGACTCTTTTTCTCTGCACAATGCAATATGTGTCACTACTCACATTAGATAATTATCAAAAAAATCCTAAATTTAGTACCACGATCAATTCAGTCTTAAACATTTTGACGATTTATCAATTTAGTCTTAAACTTTTTAATTTGTCAATTCAGTTTTAAACCTTTTGAAAATTTGCCAATTCAGTTATAAACCTATCATTTGGATAATTGGCCAAAATGACTATATTAGCAAATCGTCAAAAAGTTTAGGACTAAATTGTCACAATTGAAAGGTTTAGAACTAAATTGGCCGTCGTATAATAGATTTATGACTTTTTAGATAATTTCTCCCTAGTGACACCATAGCTCTATATCCGGTGATAAAGTCTATTCCGTCATTTAAGTCATTTTTATTAAAATGATACCAAATATGCTATAATTCTTTTGTAAAATTAAAGACATTTTCAATCCTTTTAAATTTATTGAAAGAACTCCTCATTGATTGGAGACATGAATCTAGTAGCTGAGTCCGTGTCCTAGGTCGAATCGGAGGGCGGTCCGGACTCGATTCTTGACCTGTTTTGACCCTATCAAAGGAAACGGATAGTGTTATGAACAGGATGACACGAGAAAATTTGTCTTACGCTGTTGATCCGCTTAAGCTGTTTAGACACGAATTTACACGTTTAAACTTGTTTATTACACACACGAGAAAATCGTAGCTTATGCAGATTGACTTTTAACACTTTGAAACACGGATCAACATGTTTAAATTAATATAAAATATGACTATGTGTATAAACGTACTTTACATGTTTCGTGAATCCAAGTTAATGTAACATATCATTTCCACTCCAGACACATTGCTATGTTTGATAATTGTGTTAGCCGTGTCGTATCGTTCGACACGATTTATAACGCGTGTTATGCTCGTGTTGAGGCAGTTCGACATATTTATAGGGCTATTGTGTACTCATTACTAACACAATTCGACATAATCGACATGATTGTCTTCAAGTCATGTGCCGTTTACGGCACTAACCCATTGATGCTAAACAGGAACCTATCGCGCGATTGGTTATCTCAAGAATTGTTGGGCCCTAACATGCAATTAACGTGGCAAATTACAAGCGCGACATCAGGTGAGCTACATTCAAACACAAATGCCACCAGCGATGGCGGGCGGCGATAACAATCAGCGGTGGGTCAGGGTCGACAATGATGATGGGCTGTTGCGGTTGTGATCCTCGTGCGTGGCCAGCATATACCGGGGATATTAAAAATTCTATCTACGACTAGTCCATATGGGTTATATGTCTCTTTTATCCGGTCGAATCTCGTGCTAGACAGCAGCCGAACAACAGATACGATGAAATCTAAACATGGGCCCGATCGAGACCGAACAGTGCACGAACGTTGTCCATGGACAGGCCGACACGAGCCTGCCCGATGACGACTCCTCCGACGCGACGAGCGCAGCGGCGTGCCGATAAGTCCGGCCAGAGCCAGGTGTCGCCGACACAACCGAGGAGCCAAAGAAGCTATCGATGTTCGGCGCGTTGCGGCACGCGCCAGTTCCTTCCACCTACCACCGCCGCTACTTCACTGCCCCTCTTCTCTCCACCGCGGCCAGGAGCAGCTCAGCTCGCGCACGCGCTCCCATGGCGGTCTCCTCGGTTCGAATTGCGGTCGTCGGAGACGTCGTAAGTCTTCTCTCCCACGTTCGAGTTGTTGGGTTGCGCACTTGGGTCATCGGGAAAGGCCTCGTCTTTCTCGGTTTTTAGTTGCGATCGGATGTTGGGATCCTGTTATCGATTTGTTGGTTTTGAATTTCGTTTTCTCCGAAGCATGATCAATGGGATCTCGAGGAAGACACCAAGGCGCTCCATTTCTTGAAGGTACCCTTCGTGAATGCCCCTGCCCCTGTGATTTCTCGTCTAGTTCTTTTCCGAAGATTTGTTCTGGTTGGTGAATAGCTTCTATCTGTCTATTAGAAAAAGGAAAGTTGACTTCTTTTTTGTTTTGTTTTGGTTGGTCTTCTGTAATTGAGAATACAATTGGTTCAACAGAGAAAAATGCACAAAGGGTCATGTAATTTAGTAGGACAGAAGGAAAAAAGAACTCAGAGCATTTTGCTTTTGCTGGTCAAGGAGACTGCTCATTGGCCTAGCACATAAAATGGAATCGTTTGGGTAATTTGTCTATATTTGATAAATTCAAATTCCAAAAGAGAGAATTCTTATGAGGCTACAAGAGGTTTAAAGGCTTTAGATTGGATGGACTTTGGTCCCTGATGAATTTAAAACCCCGGTTAAGGATTCTGTTGGAAATTAGCGGAGCATTCTAAAAGTATCTCATATGCACTGCGGCATGATGAAGCTTGAGTTTGGCTTGATTGGTATGTCTTAAGATGTTTCTCATCAGAAAACCAAATTCAAAAATCGTGAGACAGATCTTGTATATGCTTCCTTTTAGATTTTTAGTATTATAATGATCTTTTTCGTGCATTACAAAGGTGTGATGCTACCAATAGGCATATCGTAAGCAATCTACTTCTTAATGCTAATGCCTGAAGCAACAGGCATAGTGTATAAATCTAAATGACTTTTGAGTGTGTCATAAAACTTATCTTTATCGTGATTTCTTGTGGTAAGAGTTTCTCCTTGTGGCGGCTATTTGATTTTTCCTTCTAGTTTATGTTACTTTTTCTACTATTGGTTACTACAACTTAGTCGTATCGAATTTTTAGCCAGAGTCTCCTTTACCATCTAATACCTGTTTATGCTTGTGGATTTGTAGCCGGATCTGGTGCTCTTCACAGGTGGCAGCCTTTTCCTTCATTCCTAATCTACCTGTTGTTGTCTATTGCAATTCTTCCTTCCTGTTGTTTGGACTATAGGTCCCTCATGTGGGTAAGACAAATAAGAGCACATCTCTTGTATTTTGCATGGATAGATAGAATTAGATCGATTTTATTCCATAGTTGTGTTCTAAGTGTACAAAACCTTGGACTGGACCGAAAATATTTTCTTTTTAATCCCTTGGCCCAAAAGGATAGGATACAACTGATTGACACATGAAGAGTGCGGAGAATTTGTGAAAATATGAAGAAGGATCTCATAATCATCACCTGTAGGCTGTACCACCTTAGATTGAGACATTTACTAAAGAGGCATCAATCATCATGGTCGAACATCACAACTTTTTTATCTTCTCTTCCTTTTTTATGTGTCAAACTAATTGCTTAAATGTCGATCATTGTTAGATCTCCTTTCGTGCCAAGTGTTTGATGCTTGGGTTGGGTGATATTGTCTTCATTCTTTATCAGCCTTAAGTTCTTACATTCTGTTAAATTTTCTTTAAATCATTGATTATGCTATCTGATCAGGTGATTTTGGTGATGAGAATGTTGAGGTGGTTAGAAGCGTTGCTAAGCTTGAATTTGCAAAAGTAGTAATTTTGGGAAATCATGATTCCTGGTTCACTCAGCAATATTCTGGAAAGTAAGATTAAAACGTACCACTTGTTGTGTGTCCAAATTTACATGTTTTTGTTGTCTATGAGAATTTGCATGTGTTGCTACTTCAAAGAAACAAGATGTTTCTCACCTTCTGGAGTGGTGATCCTGTAAAACCTGAAATTTGACTTTCGACTATGGAATATTGTATGATATGTAAGGCATGGAAGGAATTTATTCTTTGTGCCACATAACCTCTGCCCCATCTCCAGATATCTTTCCTCCATGTTTTGTATGAATGGTGATTCAGATGGGAAGTAAAAAAAATTCGATAGATGTTGTTATCACTTGTTTCTGACTGTGTTTCATAAATATCTGCAATTTACCTCTGGAAAATGAGATTAATGCGTTGTCTTGCTATGTAGGAAGAAGGATGCCATTCAACTGCAGCTAGAATGGTGAGTTTATCTGCCTCTAAATTATTTCAAAGTATGGAGATATTCAGTTTTGCACCCTATGGTTATGATCTTTGTCATACACCATCCTGAAAAAATGACAACAAGCTATTCGTAGATTCTAATTATGTGGATTCCTTGTCACTTTCCTATGATGGGATGCTTGTCCTTGCTGTTTGTAACGTACTTTGACAAGTCTGTAAATAGGCGAATGTTGCGGCATTCACTTGTCAGCAAATTCTGAAGTCCTGTGTACAAAGGGCTGGGAAAGGACCAGACGAGGGGAAAGGAACAAAGTTAAATAACTCTTGTCTGAGTGAACAGAGTTCATTAAGTGTGATAGAGTTGGGCAGGGTCCATATGGCCAATATAAATATATGGGAAAGTTTTTGGATTTCTGTGGATTCATTTAAGTGCATACATAGTCTGCAATTCATCCTATGTATGAAAACGCCCTAATATTGGTAATTTCTAATGCTTTCTTGATGATCAGTCTTGGAGAGGAGCATGTGGCCTATCGGCGATTGGATTATCCTCAATTTAAGTTGAGTGTTGTCGGTGGACGGCCATTTTCTTGTGGCGGTGAGAAGTTGTTCCGAAAGAAGCTCCTATCTGCAGGGTCGGTGCCGTATTTCCCGATTTTTATATCATATCCGCAACCTGAATTTTTTTTAATTAGATTTTAGCGTCAGTCCCATTTAGCATGTCCACATCAGCTCTGCATAGTTTCTGGTAAAAAAAAATGCAGTATTTCTTGCTTCTATTGAGGATATGTAAACATGATTCTATGTCGCAAGTTGTAACTTGGCAACTTTGAGTATTCTTTCAGATTTGGAGTTGAAGACATGGATCAAAGTACTCGGAGAATCTATAAAGCTGCCGTGGGGACTCCAGAGGATCATTTGGTTATATTACTTGCCCATAATGGACCTACAGGTCTAATAATGTGCCATATCCTTAAAGTTAAGTATATTGTGGTCATTTTAATTGATCAGGCACCAAATTTTGGTGCAGGTCTTGGATCTAATATTGATGATATTTGTGGAAAGGATTGGGTCGTTGGTGGTGGCGACTATGGTGATCCAGGTTAGCTTTAGTTCTGGCAGCTGCAGTTGTGCTCTGATTCCAAAATAAATTTAAACTGCTTTCCATATGAAAAATTATCCTAATGCCTTCATCTCAGCAGATTATATTCAATGTGTCAAGCCAGCATTGCTGTCTTGCTTTGTTCTTTACTTGCTTTGATGGGTAGCTTAGATTGACTTGCTGTAGATTGCCTTCAAAAAGTCATTTTTAGCAGGCACTTATGAACTGCGCATTTTACTGCAATGTTTAGTGGCTTTTATTTTATTTTTTTTCTGATGCAGACTTAACTAAAGCCATATCCGAGCTAAAAGAGAATGCAAAATTCTGGATGCCACTGGTCATATTTGGCCACATGCATAAAGAGCTTGCACACGGTAACGGTCTTAGGAAAATGATAGTGGTGGGGGATGATGGAATTATATATCTTAACGGGGCCATCGTCCCTCGTGTCCGAATTTTGACTAGTGAGCTGACTGGGAACACAAGTCTCAATAGCAATGAGGCATCGCATTCCGATATGGGTTCCGTGCGAGCTTATACTACTGTTGACATCTCGGATGGAAGAGTGACCAAGATTGCAGAATGTTGGGTCTCCGTTGTCGGTGAAACGACCAAGCTACAAGAGGAGCACATACTTTTAAGCGTTGCATAATGTCTGTCATGTTAAAAGTGACATCTTATTTATTGGCTGCCCTCTTGGCCGGAAGTATATGCCCGGCTTTGATCAGATATATAAACAGCCTTCCCCTGTTAAGGCTTTTGTTCTTCTATCTGGTATCTAATGGTCCTTATTAGTTGCTTTGGTGCAGTTGTACGGGAAAAGAATGATCCAGAAACTAAGTCGCTTGTGTGCCTTGTAACTATATGAGATCAATGAAAGTGTTTTAAGTTGACCAATCCATTGCTCTTGTCATGGTAGTCATCATGCTAAATCTTTGCGCATAGACATAAACTTTTGCCTCCCCTGGCTCATCTCTGGGCATATAATATGTTTGGCCCATGAAAAGGTAAATTTAGTCACATGAAAGTGATCATGATTTTCTAGACTTCCACGGATACTATACAGCAGAAAACTAGAAGGTACCACTCCAACTCCATAATTGATGAATTGCTTTTCTTTTTCTTTTACTTTCTTTGTAATAGTTGTTGTGAATCTGTCGCACTTCCATCTTTAGAGAACATGTAAACAAAAGGGAGGAGGCAGCATTCTGTCTTTGTTCGTCCTTTAAAGACTCTTGCTTTCATTATGAGTGCACCAACTTCCAAGCACCCTTTTATGGGCTTTTTGACCCAATCTTTTTCTTTTAGACTAAAGTTCCACTCTTACTAGATAAATCAAGAAAAGAACCACATCATTGATTGGCAAACCCCAATAGCAATCCAAATCTCTTTTTTAATTATTCTTGTGTTGCAAGGCTCTCGTCTTCTTTCTGACCAGGCACTTGCAACTCTCTCTCTCTCTCTCATAGCGAGTTGGGGTTGCTCTGTGAACCATGAGGTATTCAATTCGGCAATGTGACTATGATCTGCTTAATCTAGAGTTTCAAGTAAAAGACTGCGATTGATTGATGAAGACAAGGATAGAGCTAGGAGCTCAAATAATAGAACCTCGAGGTCCCCTATTGATGGAAAGACTTATCCATTAATTATCCTGTGTCAATTATCCATCTCTGCTCCATTAATCAAAGATCTCATCACACTCAGTCAGTACTCTCTATCGACCCATTTTTTGGAACTTTCGTGGCATGCCTTGTGTCCATTCTTTTGCCCTCTGTATGTGTAATCTTTCACCATGATGAAGCACCCTGATGTAAATTTGGATCATTTTTTTAACTTTTCAGATATGATTTCAAATTAGTATTAGTTGAGATTACGCATGCGGTCAAAGAACTATTATTTATAGAAGGATCAAACCTTTTCCCCATTGAACACGTTTATCTCATTGAACTGGAAGCAATCATACACCAGTCAAACCAAGGAAAACCAATACCATGCACTTCCTCGTATGTATTCAACATAGACAGACCTTCACTTACACGGGGTTTCTTCAACATAGAATCTTCTTTTGCTGTTCAAGAAGAGAAGATGGAAGAATCTGTGGAATTCAACATTGGGGGGCTAGCTTTGGTAATTTTGGGGTGGTCATGTAAAAGTCGAATGGAGGAGACAGAGGTTGAATTGGATTCGATCTCCAACAATTCAATTCCTCTTTCGTTTTTGTGAAAACTATAATGACTAAAAAATGGAAAAAAAAAAGACAAAAAAAAAGCATGACAAGGAGGAATGTCTGACTTCTGACAATTGCCTGACCCCAATGGATCCCAGCAGCCTTTGACCACATCTCAGCCGTCCATCCCTTGCCTCGACGATTCCTCTTTCATCTTTAAGAACAATCTGTTCTGCATAATTACAAATTTAAAACAGCACTTAATCCTTTTTCCTGATCTTGATATCGCTACTGTTTCTTTGAGTTTGAGCAACAGTTAGATGGGGTTAAGCTTAATCCGATGGTTTATATGGAATCGGATCATGCTTTCCACTATTCGTTTGGATAAAAAAATTTCTTTTTCCATTGAGTTAATCAGTGGAAATCATGAAAGCAATCACTCTCGTTCTTCTTTTCTTTTTCGTTTTGATTATACAATTCAATCTGCTCTCTTTCCCTATTCCTCATTTGGATACGAGCTCAAACACCCACTATCTCAAACTCTCATTGCAGCTTCATATGGACAGATAAAAGAATGACATCTCAGTTGCCATCGAGTTAAACTAATGAAGGGATCGATCTCCTTGTCTCTATCTTTTCCATTTTTTTTTGTGGGTCTTTCTCAGTTTCTAAGAAGGGTTTACACTAAATAAAAATATCTTTATGATGGTGTCCTTAAATCAGAAGAAAGAAACAGGACAGTAAACAAAAGAAATTAAAAAGCAACTATTGAGATCAGCAAAACAGCTCTCTGAACCCATGTTTCCATGTGCTTAAAAACCTGAGAAAAAGTCTCTGTTTCTGCTGAGACTCTCTCTCTCTCTCTCTTTCTCTCTGTTACTGTGAAAGAAGAGTCCTCCAAACACAGCAACAACAAAAATTCCAGCTCAACCCCGCCTTGATCGGATCGACTCAATTCATTGCCAACCCCAACCTCTTTGTATAACCTCTGAATCGCCATCTGTATTCACTTTCCATCCTTCCCAGGTGAAATAACAAAAAAAAAAAAAAGGAAAAGCCCAACAAAAATTCTTCACAAACCAAAAGGAAGGCAAAAACAAGACACCCATAAAAAGAAACAGCCTCCTCAAACTGTCCGAATATCACATACCCAAAAAAAATACTGAACCGAAAACCCCGCTCATCTGAATCTCGCGGAATTTTCTCCAAACAGAGCCTCAGAACATTTCCAGGCCATTTTCCCTCTCCAACAACTTCTCTCCAATGATTTGATTTGCAAGTTTGCATTTTTCTTTAGAATTCCATTTTGTCTCTTGGCGTTGATGGGAAATGTGACTTCCAATGTGGCCGCGAAGTTCGCGTTTTTCCCGCCAGACCCACCGACGTACGATGTGCTCAGAGACGAAGGTGGGAAGCTGCTGTTCTCAGGGGTCACGGCCGACAAGAACATGGACGTCCACATGCTCGACACGAAGGGTGGCAACAAGATCGTTGCCACTTTCTGGAAACACCCTTTTGCCAGATTCACCCTCCTCTATTCCCATGGCAATGCAGCTGATTTAGGTCAGATGCAGGAGCTCTTCATTGAGCTCAGAGCGCACCTCCGTGTCAATATCATGAGGTATTGCTTCAAATTTCTGTCTTTTGTTTGTTTGTTTTTTCAAATTTATTGTTGGGAGATGTTGGTTTTTGGTTTTTGGGGCTGTTGAGTCAATTGATAGGCGGATTGCTTTGATTCTTGTGTTCTTTTGTTGGATATGTTTCCACGCTCTGGTAGATATCATTGGTTTAATTGCAAGCCTCTATACCTCCTCCTCATTTTGGTGACTGATTTCATGGGAGCTTATGTTGTTTTCCTCCTCCATGCTTTGTTTCCCTGTAGTTGATCTGTTCTTGATCCTAAGGTTGGTAAAAGTTTAGCTTTTTGAGAATATATGCTTCTTATATTAGCTAACGGTGGCATGATCATCCATCACGAGAAATGTTTTTCCCAGACGATGAGCATGATAAAGAGCGGTTAAAATTTCGATCACAATGATTTGCAGCGGAAACAATGAAGGGTTTTCTTGACGAATGGTGACAGAATATAGAATTTGCGAAGAATGCTTTATTTGGTTTCCCAAATCAGGTTTTACCTTCTGTTCCATCGGTTTTGGTTGCCATCTGTCCTCAAACTTTTCATGATATGCTAAAGCTCGACTATTAAAGGAATGAATATGCTGGCGATAAACTGAAAATTGTACATCTGGGAATCCTTATGCTGGTGGCGGTGATGACTCTGAGAATCTCTGTGGAAAAGTGTACCTACTATGTGTTTTTTCAGATTGTATCAGTTTTTGTTACATGATACATATGCAGATGCAGATGATGGAGTTATTTGCCCCGATAACTAAAACTTTATTTGATTATTTACTGGCAAATTCTGTTGTTTGCAGCTATGATTATTCAGGTTACGGCGCCTCCTCTGGTAAGGTAAGGATTCCTCTGCGTGTCAAATTGTAGCCATGTTGCTTTCTTTCTCTATTGAAAGGAATCATTAACATGAGCATTTTCATGTTAGTGACTTGGGAAAACATGTTATGTTTTTAAAATGGTTCACTCTGATAATGTGATGTCCTTCTTCCAAATAGGAATTTTTTTTCTTGCAAGTCCTTCACAGCCCGGTCAATGAAGTGGGTCGTGTCGGAGCTGACCTATTCACATGTACCATTACTATTCCTTAATATTAAAATGTCCTATAGTAAAACCAAGATCTTTTTTTTTGCTTGCGAACCATCTCGCAAGAACATAAATGACTATGATCATTTAGTTTAGATACGGTGGATTGTAAATACAAACTTTTGTTACACTAAATGATGTCCTAATAGTGGTTGTTTATGCTAATATGATAGCCATCGGAATTCAACACTTACCACGACATAGAGGCTGTTTATAATTGCCTTAAGGGTGAATACGGGATTAAGCAGGAAGATCTCATCCTATATGGCCAATCTGTTGGAAGTGGGCCTACACTGCACTTGGCTGCTCGATTGCAAAAATTGCGAGGTGTTGTTCTTCATAGTGCCATACTTTCAGGCATACGTGTCCTTTATCCTGTCAAGATGACTTTTTGGTTTGACATATTTAAGGTAAGTTTTATCAATCTGATATTGTATCTGCATAGAAAGGTGCATCTTTTCTCGGGCTCGAATTGAGGAAGTTATTCCACGTTTTCCTTTTCAGAATATTGACAAAATACGGCATGTGAACTGTCCGGTTCTAGTCATACATGTAAGTTTTTCTTTCTCATTACTCCAATAAACTTACTTAGCCATGTAAATTTCTCAATGATGCATCGGTTATTCTCCGTGTTCTTTATCTGTTGTCCTTTTCTTTTTTAGGTTTAGCAACAAAAAGGCTTGTCATGATTCTTTGCAACATTTCCTGCGAAGTGTACTTTTGCCTGTCACCCCAATTATTCACAAGAACCATGAAATTTTCATGATCATGACATCTCGAAATTTACTTGCCTCCCAATCTGCTTTCCGCTTTTAAGTTTTTGTTTCATAGCTATCTAGTCTAAGTTCGCAAGCTGGAATTTGGAAGATAATGAAATCAGTACATACATTTTACAGTCCAGTTACATATTGCCAATGTAATATGGTCATCATAAATTCTTAATTCAAGCTGCTATTATATGGTAAAGGTAACTTCTGTGGTTGTTTATTCTTTGACTCATTTGATGAAGAGA